CCCCAAAACCCCAAAACCCCAAAACCCCAAAACCCCTTTTATGAAAAATATTATTGAAATGCTGACTTTAATTTAATCAGCTTCAGATATTGTTTGAAGAGGACTTAAGATTTATCAATTTTAGGGTAAACCTTGCTATGTCTGTGAAGGAACTTCTTGAGTCCTTTGACATTAACATCGCCTGTCCACCACATGATAGGGTCGTAATTTTCGACCTCTTTTGGAGAAAACATTATCTGTGGAAGTCTCATTAAATGATATTCTTCTGGAAGACTATTTTCAGCTACTTCAATTATGAAGACTTTAAAGTCTGGACTATACTTAGTCTTCTTGACAAATTCATCCATTATATTTCTATTAATAAAGATTTCACAGAATTCACAGTCATGAGTTGTCATAATCACTAGAGCTTCTATCCCTTTCTCTTCAACTTCTAACCTGAAGTTTTGTGCTACAATCCTTCTGACTTCTAAATAATAAAGCTAAAAGTTATTACCGACTTGGTCAAGTGTTTCTGCCATTTCAGTTCCTGTTGCTCCTTCTAATAAATTTCTTCGCCAGTCATTGCCAATTACATAAGATTGGTGGAGTGGTTCACTCTTGTTATATTCTCCAACACTACCTTGAATATAATCATAATAAAATTGATAAATCGCATCCTCGTTAGCATCATCAATGGTCATGTTTGCAAGCGAGGGATTCATGTAAAACCTTCTCCTATAATCTCTAACTATTGGAGTGAACTCTTCTGTGTAGTCCATGTCCATTTTGAGATGCAAACTTTGGGCCCAGATCCAGAACTCTTGTTTCCTACAAACAGCAAGGGTAAATCTTTCCCATCTGGCTTTACTTTCGGCAGTTACGAATTCCGAACTCACATTGCTAAGTCTGTAGTTTATAGAGTGCAGCATTCTGAAGATTCTTGCCAGTGTGCTATCTTCTCCTTTGTGGTATAGATCATTTGCCCCATTATAGTAAATCAAGCCAACGTCATCAGCATGTATTTCGTAAAGAGGCTTGGAATCATGAGTGTAGATATCCACTGGGAGATGATAGTCATTTTCGATGAAACTCACCAGGCTCTCAGTTTTGTTCCACACCACAATAAGTGGAATGTCATTAGGAGTTATCTCAAATTTCCTGTATATCACGACATCAGTCCCGTTTAGAGTAATGTTGAGCTCCTTTGCTAATTTTTCTCATTCAAAGCAAGCGTAAAACCCGAGATGACTGTACTTGTTCGCAACTTCAATGTATTGAGTGTTGTAAATTTCATCTTTTCCATCAGGAAATAGACCAAGGATCAAGTGCGTTTCATAGTTATGCCTTGAAATATTTCTAAGGTCATATTCAGGCAGGTATAGTTCTGGCTCCTGAGGTTCCAATCCCTTGAGGAAGGTCATCATCTTGTAGGGAGAGGTGATAAACTTATACTCCCTCTTCCTCATATTTTCAAAATAAGTGAAATAATAAATTTTTGGATATGGACCGACAAAATCATGGTTTTCTAAGTTCCTGTTCTCAGAGAAATTGATCGTCGCAATGAATATTTTCTCTTTTAAGTCATTCCTATTCTTGATCTGCATGGATAGCTCTTTCAAATTCTTATTGATGTTAATGCATACAGCTCATCTGTCTTTATAGCCATGAAGGACAAGTGTTCCATTTCTAGCCCTGACATATTCAATTATTTGTTGAAAATTTGATTGTGTAGCTATTATCATCCAGTCAGAATCTCTAGAGAGTTTAGAAGGCTGAATGGCAGAGCATTTGACTAGCCCTATGACTCCAAGAAGGGCATATAAGAGTACTACCAACTTCATAACGCTCAAATTTTTATTAAATTTTATAAATCATATATCTTTGGGGTTTTGGGGTTTTGGGGTTTTGGGGTTTTGGGGTTTTGGGGTTTTGGGG